TCTGATGTTAATCATAGGTGTCAGATTTAATTAAAATTTCCTATCACAAACATGCAGGTCCACACAATTAAGCACCATTCAGCACCATGGAGTTCCCCCATGGGTGAAAGCTCCCTGAACAAGTTGGAAGGCTTTGGACAAAACTTTCCCCATCTTCCTCACAGACCAGGCTTGGTTGTTTACCATATGGGCATTGATTGCTGATAGCTGGTGCCTGTGTGGATGATTACTTTGTGTTATACTTCTTCAGTATAAATTTGGTGTCTGCAACTGGTTAAAAATTCTCCAATGTAGGAGTGTTGCTGTTTTGGATTTTCCCTGGATTCAAAGTTTGAATCTTGGATTGCAGTCTTGCCAGTGGCATGCCTGCTCACCAACAACCCTACCCCCATTTAAATAACAATTCAGTGGACAAATAAAAATTAAAGAGAAGCAGAAAATTTGGGAATGATTAATTTATAACATACCAAAATCCGAATCATTTTTATGACTTTTTTCTTGTTGGCCACATTGCTGACTAGGGATGGGGCGGTTCCACTAGGGAACCGGTTCTGAGCAGTTCTGAACCGAACCGAACACAGAACCGCGAACCGGTTCCAGAACTGAGTTCTAACCGTTCCCCATGTGATTTATACCTATATGAGGAAATTCTGAGTTAATCTTTCCTTAAAAGGAAAGATTAATACAAATAACGTGACTTATTAATATTCAAATAAATTAAATAAATTAAATATTATTATTATTATAATGTAAATAACGAATAAATGGACAAACAATGAATGAATATGTATTAATATACAAAAAAGTGCATAAAATAAAACAAACATTAATAATATTAAAGGATTTTTTATTAGTAATTAACATAGAATTACAATGTATTACAAAAAAATAAAAATAAACATAAAGTAAGTATAAGGAAATATAATTTTGAGAATATTATTCTAACACTCTAAACCCCTACTTTATTGATTATCCAACTCTTCATACACAAACATGCTCTTGCAGTTTCTGGCAATAAGCGATTTCGCACCTTACTGATTGTATTTCCAGCAACTGAGAAAACACGTTCTGATGGAACACTGGTTGCTTGTATTGTAAGATAATCCCGTGCCATTTTACTTACAATTGGGTACTCTTTTTCATGTGCTTGCCACCACAAGAGAGGATCTGCATCTTCATCTATTTGCAATGAAAGATAACGATCTAGTTCCGATGTAGTAGATGCTGAAGATGTTTGTGGAATTGTTGTACCTTGTTGAAGTTGTATGAAATATTGACGAGCAGCACTTGAAGTGGATGATGTTCTTGATGTTGATGTTCTTCTTGTTGATATTTCATTGGAAGAGTTTTGTTGGTATGTATTAAAAATTGTTTGAATGTGCTCACAAGCACTTTGCTTTATGTTATTTGAGCTTGGCTCGAGGATCTAAAATTGATGGAGTGATTGAAGAATGATCCATAATATTCCAATACACTCCAAGTTTTTGGGACATCAAGGCTGCTACTTCACATTGTTTAAAGTCTTCTCCTAGACATTTTTCTAAATGGGTCTGGACACTATGAAAAATAAAACGAACATCACCCAAAGTTGGATAGGATGATGATGAAAGATATTTTGTGGCTTGTTCTAAGGGCTCAAGAAGTAAGAGAACATCCTATAAGTATGATAAGAATATCAGAAATTAATTATTAATATTTTGCCTTTGTGATCATTTACCAATATTTATTTAATATTCAATTTTACCTTAATTACTGCCAAATCATTTTCATTTGGGCGAATATCATTGATGGTGTTATTAGTGGCAGCAAGCAAAATTAGTGCTGGCTGAAGTTGTTCAAAACGTTTCAACATATAATATGTTGAATTCCAGCAGATATCTACATCCAGAATTGGTTTCAGGTATTTTATTTTTTTTTTGCATCACACATGATATGAGGTTCATCACAAAATAAAGTTGAGTTTTTAATTTTGGTCATTAATTGATGTACTTTGTTAACTGAATCACTAACTATTTCTAATCCTTGCTTCACACCCAAGTTCAAAACATGTGCTACACAACGATAATGTGCAAAATTCATTGAAGAAAATTGATCATCAAAGGATTCAGCAAGCTCTCTTCCACACACCAGCATTGCAGACTCATTGTCTGTGGTTAATGCAATAATTTTGTTAGAAATATTGAATTCACCTAAGACATGCTTAATCTCTTGTGCAATATTTACTCCAGTATGTCTAATGCTAAAAGGAATAATGTCAAGAGGAAAATTACAGAGATGCCAACTTGAATCTACATAATGTATAGTTATTCCTAAAAAGACCTCCTGGTTTATAGAAGTCCACATGTCAGCCATCAATGAACATCTTCCCTCAATTTGGCTAAGTCATTAATAATTTTTGTTCTTTTAGAATTAAATGCATCAATTATAGATTCTCTTACTTGGTGCCTTTCAGGAACAGTATAATGAGGACAGAAATGATTGATAAATGTTCCGAAATAGGGGTTATAAACAACTGTAAAAGGTTGTAGATCACATATTAACCATTGAAGAAGGTATTTGGTATGTTCTTTTTGTTCTTTTTCACCAAAAGGATCCATTCCAATCATGGTTCTATGATTTCTAGAAGGTAGTTGTAATTGGTGGCAATAACTGAGGTGTTTACGAAGAGAAGACACACCTGTTGTTAACATATACTTAAGATGGATTCCTATCAAAATACTCTCATACAGCACTTGTCCTTGATACAGATGATGAGGTAACATCTGTTCTGATTGCTCATCACCAAATACTTGACTAATAGACTCATCAGGATTTATATTGTCAAAATCTTCATAATAGGAGTTATTCATATCTTGGTCCATAAAGATTTCAAATTGTCCATCCATTTTATAAAAGTATATATAATAAATTGAAGGTAATTAAAAATAATTGATTTTTAAAGAGAAAAGCAATCATGTGTATATGTAGGTAATTAAAAAAAATAATTGATTTTTAAAGAGAAAAATTGCAAATAAGCAATCACGTGTATATGTAGGTAATTAAAAATAATGGATTTTTGTAATCATGTAGGTAATTAAAAAATAATTGATTTTTAAAGAGAAAAAAAAACACAGTGAGGCTTTTTGTCAGTTTACTGATTATATTAAAGATTTTACTTTAATTGTAGTAAAGTCGGAATGGCTACCCTTTTTATATGTTTTTTTTTTACAATTTGCCAAAAACCATTTTTTTACAATCTGTGCCAAAAGTATTTATTAGGAAGTCTTTTTTTTTTACAATTCTCCAAAAGACCATTTTTTACAATCCAAAAAATCTTTTTACAATTCATGCCAAAAGTCTATTTTTTTATTTAAATGATCTGTTAATGGGGGGTGTTACAGTCTAATTAAATCAAAACTAAGTAATCTCATATAGTGTCGATCACTAAGTTATTTTTTTTTAATGATCGACAACGCAAACAATAAATAAAATCTTATTTTCAAAATGCTACTAGTCAGTGAAAAAGAGAGGTATTGTTTCCAACTTTGAGTATGGAATGTATAATCTATCTAGTTTATTGGTACAGAGAGGTCTTTGAAGGTAACAAAATACCAGTGATGAAAAAATCACAATCAACATTTGTTATATTGTGACGGGTCTTTTGGAATTTTTATTTTATTATTGTTTCCTTAGAAATTCGCCATGCAATAACATTTCAAATGTATATTAGTATTACAGCAGAGTATCTTCTGAATATAATTCTGTTTTTTTTTTTGTTTTTATTTCTTTTTTTTAAAATTGGTAAATTTTCCCTTACAGTATTCCGTGTAACATCCATAAAAAAACCGTACATATTAATTTATCATATTAATTAGATTTGTTGATCTACTTGTATGACACCCCCCAATCTGTTAAGATGATTTCAAAAATCTTTTTTTACAATTCGCCAAAAGACCATTTTTTACATGTCAAAAAAATCTTTTGCAATTCATGCCAAAAGTCTATTTTTTACAATTTAAATGATTTATTGATTTATTAGGATAGTGTCAAAAGTCTTTTTTTACAATTCGCCAAAAGTCCATTTTTTACAATTCATGCCAAAAGTCCATTTTTTTATTTAAATGATCTGTTAAGATAATTTCAAAAATCTTTTTTTACAATTCGCCAAAAGACCATTTTTTACATGTCAAAAAAATCTTTTGCAGTTCATGCCAAAAGTCTATTTTTTACAATTTAGATGATTTATTAGGATAATGTCAAAAGTCTTTTTTACAATTCTCCAAAAGACCATTTTTTACAATTCAAAAAAATCTTTTGCAATTCACGCCAAAGTCTATTTTTTTATTTACAATAAAAATCGGTTTTACTTTTGAATTTTGCCATTATGAAAATCAAGCTTCAGCAATAATCATTTATTGAGAGGGGTGTTTACTCTATGCATTAATTAATTGATATAAATAATTATTAATTACATTTAAGCTATGACTAGACTTTGGCCATGGCTAGTAGGCTTTGGCCACAACCGCAACTAGAGTTCTTTATATAAACTATAATTTGATTTTTTATTATATTTTGTAATCTTAGGTAACATGTTTTTCTTTATTTCTAGATAAATAGCGATATCCTTAAAAAATAAATAAACTTGACCAGAGAAATACAAACAAAAATAAAGACCATGGTTCATTAGATATAACTATAAAGACATTTTAAAAATTCAACATTTAGGAAATATTATCAGTTGACGAAAATAAACAAATTATCGTTATTCCATGGATTAAGGCATATGATATTTGTAAGTCTAAAGATTTCCTTGATATTTTCGTCACATAGTTTTAAAAATATCTCTCGGGTGTTGTAGATCATCTATTTTCTTCCGGCCTCTTGCTAGTTGTAATTCTCGCGTTCTTTATTAGAACATTACGCCTGCGCCTCGTGGGAAATCATGACGACAATGTAAATCTTGGTGGCACAAAAAAAGATTCATTTATTTATTTATTTATTTATTTTAATTATTTTCCTAAATGTTAAAACCAAAAGCAATATCATCAGTTCTTAGACAAGCAACTACTGGCGGTGTAAAGGCGACTCTGTATGCTATTTATTATTTTTTTAATATATGTTTTTTTTTGCTTTGGGATTCATTCAACTGAAAATGAAAGGAATATTGTGTATACCATACATGCTTATTAATAATGTTAATTAATTTTCTCCTGATTATGAAAAAAGCCTTTTGAATTCAGAAGGTTCACCTCTGGCATTTGTCTCGGAATCAGACAACGAGGCAAGAGTTTATGCTGCTATAGCCTCAAGTATTTGGAGCACTATTGACAAAATTGGTAAAAGCGTAATGAAAGATGATTTAAATTTTCTGGTGATAGAATGCGAGGTAATTAATTGCATTTATATTTATGCGTTTATCACATCATATGTGATTTATTTATATGAATGTCATCTTGTACATGTCGTATTTATTTTATATTTATTTATTACCGATTTTTCAATTCCAGGAAGGAAATGTCGCAATTGCTACTGTTAGCAACATGTTATTATGTCTTGTTGCAAAACCTGAAGTGCAACTGGGAATATTAAAAGCAAAGGTTTTTATAATTTAGAAAATTTGGAATTGTTTTTTTTTTTTTTTTTTAAGATTTAATATTTACATATATACTTCTTTTCTATAAATAATTGAAAGACTGATGCTTTAATTGACCATCTTAAAGAGCCTTTCAAAAAAATAGCAGCTTATACTCAATCATAATATTAATAAAAATAAAGGATAGATTTTACTACAAATAAAAACTGTGCGCGTGCATGTGTGATAACAAAATGGGATTCTCTCCCACTTTGTATGAGGTTATAACCACCATCATGTTATTTTAAATTGTTAGGGTAAATGAATGACTGTGTAAAATTTTATTATAAATCATATGATTCGCAATTTGTTGGTTTTTCCTAAATTGAAAATTTTTATTATATAAATATGAATATAAAAAACAAATAAACTTTATTATTTATTTATTCTCAAAATGTTTCTATTAAAAAAATCTCAGTCACCTTCAAAAGTAATTCCACCAGCCCCGCCACCACCACCTCCACCGCCACTACATAAGAAGATGATACTTTGTGTTGATAAAGCTTGTTTTGTGTTAATTGCTGGTTTGGAATTTTTACAAGTTGATTTGGAAACTGGAATCATAAAAAAAACAAGTATGTACTTTTGAATATTATATTATTATTGCATATTTTCTAACATTTTTTCTTCACAAAGGCGAGTATGAGGGCTCTCCTGTTGCGAGATATTATGATGTTTATGGTCTAGTTGGGTTTATTGAATTGTTGACTGGTTAGTTATTAATTGATTAATCTCATTATCCGATAATGATCTTGCTAATTTTTTAAAACCCATTTTTACAGCAATTCATATAATTCTGATAACACATCGTAAATTAGTTGGTCAGATTCAAGGAAAAAACGCATACATGATCCAAGAAGTTATTATTTTACCTTTGGATTTTGAACGCGCAATTAAAATTCTTGACAGATATGTAATGTAAATTTTCCTATTTTCTGTTTAATCGGTCAATTGGTTATTGATATGAAAAATTAAAATACTTATTTATACATTCGTTTTGTTAATTATATTAGTCTTGGCCATCAAATAACGAAGATCAAGAATCAAATGATTCTTGTTTTACCGAAGAAAAAAATTCCGCGCGATTTAAACGCAATAATATTCCCAGTGTGATTTTTGAAGAAATCAACAACAACGACTCTTTATCAAATAAAATAGTTTCTCCTCCTACTACTTCATCATCTCCTACTTCATCATCTCCTATTTCAGAATCGCCATCAACGCTATCACTACCACTATCACTATCACAATCTCAATCTCAATCTTCATCGACATCACCACAACTACAACCACCATTGGCTGATTCATTTATTAAGAAACAACATGTTACTTCATTAATATCAAAAATGAAATCTGCATTTGAGGATCTTAGAAAAACAAGACCACTATCCATCTCTCCGAATGGATCTGATTCGGGTGATGATGATGATGACGATGAAAGAATAAAAGAGCACGAACCATTTGCTATTACCACTACTACAAAAACCTCAACATACAATAATTCTAATAGTAATGGTAATAATAATAATAATAACACCAACGATGATTTGTCAAAATCAGCACAATCAACTAGTTATGTGTCAACTTCTACTATTGGATTCGCTTCAACTAGAAAATTTTCTGAAGTTTGGGAGGGTTTTATTGGTGATGCTGGTAGCCCAAAAGTTATAAATGTTAAAGATCCCATTGATAAAAGAGTTAGTTTAGTATTAATACAATACGTATATATATAAAAGTGTGAACCTATTAAAAAAGATTAACCTCTTTCCTTTTACTTTAGGTGATGGATGCTCGTATAACGAAAGAAATTGTGTCTTTATTTCGTTCTAATGGATTTTTCTTCTCGTATGAAATTGGTTAGTAAATTATTATTATAGTAATTTTAAATAATTATACATACATACATACATATATATATATTAAATAATGAATAATTTATTAGATTTAACAACATCTTTACAAAAACAAAATGAGAAACGTGCAACATCTTATAATTTACCTTTGTGGGAACAGGTATTGTCATGATTATGTGTGCCATTAAATATAAAAAATTTAATCTTCTATAGATTAAAGCTTTTATTTTTTGCTTTAGGTTGAGAAAACATTTTGGTGGAATGAACATATGTTAAAAAATTTAATAAAAAATGAGGTAATCGTTATAATATACGGTGATGTCAACAATAACGTCATAAAAATGATTTTACTCAAGTTGTTTTTATTTGTACGCTAGTTTCATTCATGGATATTACCAATAATGCAAGGGTTTGTTCAAGCTGAAATGTGTGAGATTGAAGGTAGAGAATTTGATTTCATTCTAATTTCTAGGAGAAGTCGTGATAGAGCAGGTAAGCTAATAAATCAAAATAATAATATTTAGTATTATTAATATTAAATATATTTATTATTTATTGTTTATTATATATGTTTAACAAAATTTCAATTTTAGGTTTAAGATATCAACGTAGAGGTATTAATGAAAATGGTGATGTTGCTAATTTTGTGGAAACGGAACAAATTATATCAATAAAGGCATCTTATTATTTACTACTATTATTATCATTTTATTATTATTAATTTGGGATTTTAAATTCAATTAATACTATTTGTAAAAAAAACATGTTTGTTTTGTCTTATCCTATGATTTTTTTATATTAGGTAGATGAAATTCTTCATTTAGTATCATTTATACAAGTTCGTGGTTCTAGTAGGTTCAAAGTTGCCTTTTATTTATTTATCAAGTTTAACTATGATCATTATAACCATTAAAATATTATATTAACAGCATAACTTATTTTTTAATAATAGTACCAATTTTTTGGTCTCAATCGCCATACAGCCTAAAACCAAAGCCAGTTCTTGAACGATCTTTAGGAGAAAACATGGAAGCATTTAAGAAACATTTTGATCAATTAAAAAAAAAATATGGGGCTGTAGCTAATGTGAATTTAACTGAATTAAATGGACGTGAAGCGATTGTCGGAGGCGCTTACAAAGAAAAAATTTGTAAATTAAATGATAACAAGATTGAGTATGTGTATAATTCATTGTTATTACATTACGATGGGTTTAATCTATATAAACGTGCGTGTGTTTTTAAAACAAATTTTTTTTTTAGATATATTGAATTTGATTTTCATAAAGAGTGTAAAGGAATGAAATATGAAAATATTTCAAAACTTGTATCATCACTTCATCGTAATTTCAATTCAATAGGGTTAGTAGCCTATTACCATTTAAAAGACTTTTATTATTTAATTTTCACTTGATATTTACATTATTGTTATTCTACAAACTTTTAGATATTATTGGCAAGCAGGTGATTCTGAAATTCATTGTCGTCAAGAAGGAGTTTTTCGTACGGTTTGATATCACACATTTCTTTAATGTTGTTGTTATTATTTATCATTCTTGTAGAATTTCAATAATATTTCTAATTCAATTACCATTTCATAGAACTGTATGGATTGTTTAGATAGAACTAACGTTGTACAGGTAATCCAATTACTTGGTGTGATTGATTATTAGTTTACTTATAAAAATATTATTCTATAAATACTTTGCCATATTTTAATATTTCTCCTCTCAAACATTAGAGTGCAATTGCAAGAGAAGTTTTAAATTTGCAGCTTCTACGTTTAGGGGTTTCAGATTTTATAGATAATGGAATATCACATTATGAACATTTTGAAAATATATTTAATGATCGTATGTTTGTTATTAATTTTATTATTCTGTTATTTTTTCCCTAAAAAAGTCGACATTATTTGTTTTAAAAGTTAAATTTAAATATTGCTGAATGCTAAATGCTAAATCTCATTATTTGCTTATTTATTAGTTTGGGCTAATAACGGTGATTCGATAAGTCGTGAGTACGCAGGCACAAGTGCATTAAAAGGAGATTATACAAGGTATTATTATTTATGATATATTTACATACTATATTCATATATTTTTTTTATCAATAAAATAAAGGCTAACAAAATATTTGTATGTAAATGAAATATTTTATTTTTAGGACTGGTAACTTAATTCATCAAGAATCATTACACATAATTAAAACCAATTAGTTAAATTTTAAAAAAAACCAATAATGAATTTATGATTAATATATATATATTTATTTATATATAGGGAAAAGAAATTTACAAGGTGTTGTAAATGATGCATCAAATTCATTAGCAAGGCTATTTCAAAATACTTTAAAAGATTTTTTCAGACAAGTAAATTCAAATAAATATAAATAACCCTTTTTCATTATTACAATCATTATTTATTTTTTATTTATTTAATTTAATTAATCATTATCGTAGGCTACTATTGACTACATTCTTGGAAATCATACAATTGAAGTTTTTCAAGAAATACAACAAAAATTTGAAGCTTCACAACCGGGGGATGCTGATAGATGGGCAAAAGTTAGAGCTACTGCAAGCAAGTTTTTTAAAAACTTTTAAAAATATATAAATGTCAATGTTATTTATTTATTTATCAATTAATTCCATTGTTATTTATTTTTTTTCAGTTGAAATTAGTAGTTCGATTGTAATAATTGATAATGAAGAAAAACTAGCCGGGTGGACTTTTCTTTCACCATCTGAACCAAATACATTGTATGAATAAACATATAAATATATATTTCTTTTTGTTTGCTAATCAATAAAGAAAAAACTTTTACTAATTTACACACATGAATTTTATTTTAGGAGAGGAAAATCATATGAAGAAAAAGTTATACTATTAACAAAAAAAGCATTATATGTCTGTACTTTTCATTATCGTCTTGAAAAAGTTATGCAATTTCAAAGAATTGGTTTGGGGGAAATAACTTGTATTGAAAAAGGCAAATACAACCAACTAATCAATTAATCTTATCATATAATATATAAAATTTATCGATTAATAATATTAATTATTATTATTATTATTACCAAGTATTCTAATGAATATTCTGTTTTATTTAAATAAATAGGCGAGTATATATTATCGACGTTGTATCCTTCATGTGCTTCTCCAGAGGACAATTACGGTTTTGTAGTTTATTATCAAGCATCTGGTGAAACAAGTCGTTTAAATACTGGTAGTATGCGTAATAACAACGAAAACAACAACAATAATAATGCTCAAGG